GACCTCACAACCTCTGAGGATGCCTGCCGTGGATATGGGTGAAATGTCAAGAGAAAATGCTTCTGAAACATGGCCATACAGCTCAGAAAACTCACAGCAACCCAATAAATAAATAAATAAATAAATAAAATGTCATTTGTTTCTAGGACTTTTACTGGACCACGTGTTGGTTTCTTTCCCAAACATTTTCTACACCAAAGACTAATACAAGCATTGATTTAGACTCTGGAATCTCCTTGACATCCTTTTGTACATATTTCACATGTGTTGTCTGATGTACCTGAAATGGGGTTTTGGGGGGAGGGACGGTGGCCTTAAGTTTATCTAAAGGTATTAAATAGAACTATTTTTTAACTTCTCTCATTTCTCAGAAAATATTAAAACTTATTATTTTCCTATCTATTATAAGGAAATAGCTATTCACTTTAATTTGTAAAGTGCTTTACAGAATTAAGGCAATGGATGAAGCACCTGGAATGAAAGTTTGTAAGCCTACTGCTTTGGGGAGGAGGTGAACTTCCTTTGGAATAAATCACACTGAATTCACCGGGATCTGCTACCAAATAAACACAAATAGGATTGGGTTGTAAAATATTTAAATAACAACACTGACATGTGAAAATATAAGAGAAATGAAACAAATGTCATACAGGTGGCATTATTGTTTATGGACAATTAATGGACCCATACTGTTTACAATATGGCTCAGCATTTATGCAAATATAGAGAAAAAATATATGATTTAGACATTGAGAAATCGGAAGCCCTGGCGCTTGAGCATGATAGCTGGAGGTCAGCTGTGACCAGCAGTGCTGTAGAATTAGAAGAGGCACAAATGGAGGGTGAAAGAGAGAAACGTGCCAAGAGGAAGGCACATCAAGCCAACCCTCACCGGGATCGTCTTCCACCTGGAAACCAATGTCCTCACTGTGGGAGAACCCACCAGACCCACCACCAAGACACTACACTTAGAAGACCATCATCCTTGGACTATGAGGGATCACTTAAGTAAATAAAATGGTTTAATATGATTCCATACAATACACACAATCAATTCAGCAATTAAGCTGTATTCTGAAGTATTTCAAGATCTTATAATTCTTTCAATAAAACATTCTGACATATCAAGGTAAAAATTGCTAAGAATATGTGCCATTACTCTAAATATGTGTTTTGACCTCTTACTTAAAGAGTGTGTTCAAATTCCACATGCACAGACTCCCACACAAAACCCTACCACTATGAATGAAAAAAACAAACAAAAATAAATATATTATTTTAAGAAACAAAGAAGGTGGGGATCCGTGAGAAAGGATCTACAGACAAAATAAACATGACAGGACCCTAATCAAGAAGAGTATCACATCATTCCTTTTTCAAAAGAAAAGGTTAAACTAAAAGTCAGGATAATCATTCAGTTTCATTTCCTCTTAATTCAATTTTAGGTTCATATACGGATGTCATTTCTCTTTGGTCCTTCATCCACCACTTGAGCTGGACAAACAAATTAGACCTCAAGTCAAGATAAAATATGTATAATTCACCTCTGGCAAGGAGGCACATTTTACAAAATGTATTTATCACCTAAACATTCTTAAGGAAAAACAGGTGTTACTTTGCTTAAGTTTTAAATAATACTAGGATTATGGAAAAAATAAAACTAAAAGCAAGCATATACTTATGTATTATGTGCACACATGCAAATATATACACACACATTTACTTGCAAGTTTTAACTGGAATTTCTGTACTTACATATCTGAGGATAAAAGATGCAGATATTCCTTGCCTTCCACATCCAGCGATTACCTCTAAAGCTATTGTCTGTTCAGAACTGAATAGCTCTTGCAATCTCCCTTTCAGAACACTCCCCAAACTGATTGTTCTTCCCATCAGCAATGAAAGCCTTGAGCATCACCCACAGTCTTGTTTGCATCATGCTTTCTACACAACCCCACACTTTACTATATTGCATAACGACAAGATATATTCTGCCAGTGTGCTTTCACTAGAGTGTACTCAGTGAACACAGGGTGGAAATCAAGTTTTTTCAAAAGCATATTGCTGTAAAGTCTTAAGGCTATTTATGAAGAGGATTTCTTAAACAAGCTGGGTGGGTTGCAGAGTACATCATAATCTTTTTTTTCTTCTTTTACCTGCAGGATCTCCACAAGGCAATTTTCTATTTCCACATGTGTGCACACATTTGCTAGGGACAGACAAGGTCATACAGATTGCTTCTCCAGTAACAACCACCCACCAGCCAAAAAAATAAAGACCATTGATTTGCAGAACCATTTGCAGAAATGAATAGGGCTGTCAAAGACAGTGATATAACTTGATGGTTTGCCCAAACTAGGAACTGTTTGATTAACTGGTTTTCCCCCTTGCTGTAACTAAAAACCTGTAACATCCTATCTTAAGCAATTAAAACATCTGAGACTTAAATGTTTTAACAATACACTTAGCACTTTGAGAACAATAGTACCAAACCTGTCAATACAGATGCACAAACACAGCCACACACATAACTCTGAGATGTGAAGGAAAACACTTGTCCATGCTTTTCCAGTTAACGATCCAAGAAACTTCTAACAATAAACAAAAAGGACAAAAGGGCTACAACAACAAACATCTACTCACTGTTTGTGCTGAATTCCCTGTGAATAAATTGTTCTAAAATGTAGCCACATTCAACTGAAGCTGCTATTATTTGCAGGCTTCCACAGCAGAGAAGAAAGGGAGCAGAAATTCTTTTGATAAGGAGTGCTTTCTCTTCAGTTAGCAAATTACACCGTGATTGGTACGTTTTTATTAAACAAGGACAAAGGAGCCCACACAATGAAACTGTCTGCTCTTTATTTTAAGCAAGGAGATTGGGACAAAAGAGAAGGAAGGAGTCTGACTTCCCTTTTGATGGTAGAAGACAGGGCAATGAGATGAATAATGCTGAAGAGAGAACCGCAGAGTGGGCATTTTCATAGCAAAGCCATGGAAATTAGACTGAATGCAGAACAAGCAAAAAGTCACTTTGCCCCTAATGAGCCTAGAGAACAATCCAACATTGGTTGAAGATGCTTCTTAAGCTGGCAGATCTGAACTTTCAGCATTCCAAACATCAAAAACAAAAACAAACCACAACGTAAAGCAGTGGTTCTTGGCCTGTGGGTCCCCAGGTATTTTGGCCTACAACTCACAGAAATCCCAGCCAGTTTACCAGCTGTTAGGATTTCTGGGAATAGAAGGTCAAAACATCTGGGGACCCACAGATTGAGAATCATTGATGTAAAGGGAAAGGACCTCTCTTCCATTATCCTCTGGTTATGAGGAATTCTCACAGAGTGGAGTATGGATACTGTACCCAACTCTTAAAAATTAACTTTAATCAGACCTCTCTGTATGTGCACATTCTTCAGGTTGCCTGCCAATTTATGGCAACCACATACATTTCACAGGGTTTTCTTAGACAATAAATATTCAAGAGGTGGTAACAGCAATAACACCGTCCTATACAACAGTGCAATTATGAAATTACTTTTAGAAGCAGGAGCTTCCTCTTTGCTTCCCATGGAGGAAGGAACAATTGCATCAAAAGTTCAAATTCAGTTTCTGGGTACAAAAATAGCATCCTAACCTACCAAGCTCACATTAAATTGCACTGTGCTGTATTCCCCTGAATAACAATTTAAATAAACATTTTTAAAATACCTTAGACAGGAGTTAACTAACGTTGTTCAGCTGAACTTCTTTTGTGTCTGTGTGTGAGAGAGACAGAGTAGAGGGGAGACAATAGCTATACTTCAATTAACGATGATGGTGGTCATCCTCACCCTTTCCATCTCTCTCTTCACATATACACATGCATCAAATTCTGGTGTGAAATCAAGACAAAAACACCTGACTGACTCCATATTCGATATATAATACTATTTTTAGTTAATTTTATTAACTGATTTTTTACTTCATCCTTCTCCCAGGATGAAACATTTACTCAAAATAATGTTGATGTCTTAACCACAATATTTTCAAGAGCAGCCGAAGGAGTACAAATGTTACTTAGAAAGCAACTTCTTATTGCTGCTGTGTGCCTTCAAGTTGTTTTTAACTGATGGCAATTCTAAAGTGATCCTATTACAGAGCTTTCTTGGCAAGCTTTGCTTAGAAGGGGTTTGCCTCTGCCTTCCTCTGAGGCAGAGAGAATGGGACTTGCCCAAGGTCACTCAGTGGTTTCCATGACAAAGGGGGGATTTGAACTGTTCTGCAGAAACATTATCTGAAGAGCAACCTCCAGATCACTCTTACAAACACAAGGACATTTACAAATCTATATTGATTCTGGTAACCATCCTGCTACACAAGCTGCCCAGAAGGAAATCCAGAGCATCTGTCAAGAAATCAGTCACAGATTGCAAGCAAGTAGATTGCAGTAGCTCTCAATTTAGCAGCAGGCATGGACATAATCAATCTTGGCACATTCAACTGTATTTGGCCTCTTTCAAGAAGAAGTTGTTTCACATCACACTGATTATTGTTGATATAAGTTGAGAATCCCTTATCCAGAATTCTGAAATCCAATACTCTAACATCTGAAATTATCCACATAGATGGCTGTGGATAGTAAAGGTGTCACATAGCGACACCTTTACTTTCTGAAAGTTCAATGTACACAGATTTAGTTTAATGCACAAAAAATATTAAAATGTTTTATAAAACTAACTTTAGGCTATGCTTATAAGGTATACATAAAACATAAATGAGTTATTGTTTAGAATTGTATCCCATGTACAAAATATCTCATTATATACATATATATGCAAGTATTGAAAATCCATACGAACCCCAAGCATTTCGGATAAGGGATATTCAACCTATACTACAAATTGAAATTAAACAAATGCAACAAGTATTTTCTGCTATACAACCAGATGAACAAGAGTTATCACTTTGTTTTCTGATTAAAACACCTTAGCTTTGGAAAAAATCTTAAGAAGTGTGCTTACCTTGAAAGGCAACTCTAGTTTCTCCCTCTGAGGAATCTGGTCTAGAACGCCATCCGTACTGCTCCTTCTGAGACTTGTGGTAACATCGGGCACATTGCTAAAATCTTCATACAAATAAAAAAATAATAAATGACAGGGTTAAATTGTCAGAAGCTATGGCCCTCTTCATTTCATTCACAGATGCTTTCTGTATGGGAGAAAACTCACACAGAGAGCTGAGCATTTGGTTCTAACAGCAGTTCAGCTAAAATAGCTCACTGCAGTAATGCACATATATGATTGGCTGAACTAAACCTCTCCTTTTCTCATTCCTAAAGTAGTGTCATCTGTGTGAAGTATGGCTGCTTGTGATGGCTGAGGGAACAACTAGTAAAACATGATCATCACACATATCAAGTTATTCTTCTTAACAAACTGTATGGTTTTCTGTATGGTGTGGCTCTTAAATTTTTGAGCACATGTGGAGAACTGGTCATAGTTAAAGCAACATAACTATTTTTGCTGATAGCATGTGCACCATAGTGAAGATGATTGGCAACTTCTACTAGGGAAGCATTTCTCAACGTGGTGGTTAGGACCCCTGGGGGGGGTCGCAAGGGAGTGTTAGAGGGGTCACCAAAGAACATCAGAAAACACAATATTTTCTGTTAGTCATGGCAGTTCTGTGTGAGACCTTTGGCCCAATTCTATCGTTGGTGGGTTCAGAATGCTCTTTGATTGTAGATGAACTATAAATTCCAGTAGCTACGAATCCCAAATGACAAAATTAACCCCCCCCCCCAACCCCACCAATATTCAAATTTGGGCGTATCGGGTATTTGTGCCCAATTTGGTCTGGGGAATGAAAATACATCCTGCATATCAGATATTTACATTATGATTCATAACAGTAGCCAAATTACAGTTATGAAGTAGCAATGAAAGTAATTTTATGATTGGGGGTCACCAAAACATGAGGAATGATATTAAGGGGTCGCAGCATTAGGAAGGTGGAGAACCACTGTACTAAGGACTTTCATCCTAGGGCAAATGCCTTAGAATGAAAGGACAACCCAAGATTCCCTTTGGTTTCCAAATCCTCATAATATATTCAACACATTATCAAGTATTTCTGCTCTGAGAGTATTATTAATGTCTGCCAGTCAATGCAACATTTTCACTGTACATGAATCCATGTACAGAGCTACAAGCTGTGAGTGGAAAAGCAACTTTACAGTAATATCATCATCAACAGAAGTTTTCTTCTAAACTTTCACTATTTAAAGCAAGATAACTGACCAGCAAATAGTACATGTAAATTCTATTCTATATCCAAAATGATAGCTAGTATGCATTTATAAACCTCTCCCCCCATGGTGTCATCTTTTTCAATGTTGCCTTGAATTCTGAGATAGGATAGTAATAATGATGATATCATTGTCATCATCATCATCATCATCATCATCATCATTTTCCCAAGACACAATAGAGTCTGTTCTTAGTATCCACTGGAGTCTGGTTCCAGGGCCCCCTGTGAATACTAAAATTCAAGCATGCTCATGTCCAATTATATGCAATAGTGTGGTAAAATGATGCCTCTTACATAAAATTGTAAAATCAAAATTTGCCTTTCTGGAATTTTCTTTTAATCAAGCTATACATGGTTAAATTTGTGAATATAGAATTGATGGATACAGAAAATCAGCTATATATCATTTTTGGACTTTTAATTGATCACTGATTATATTAAGAAGTACCATACTAGATGTCACATACTTTTTTTTCTGCAGCTACAGTAATCATGAAATTGCTGGTCAAGCCAATGGAAGGCAATATCCAAGCTAACTACTTCTATCGCTATTGGACCATTACTAGGTTAGACTGTGCTGAAACAAGACAATCATTCTGGTAATAGAACAAACATTCTGCCCCAAGAGAAAAAGAGAAAGCTATACAAAGGTTTGGAGGACTTGTCATTATCCAGCTCTCAAGTGTTAGGCCCTCCTGTTCCAAACTGAAAGTCATTTGAAAAATGATCGCAGTCTTAAGGGACAGAATAGTGTTCCTGAACCAGGTGCCATCCAGATGCCTGAAATGACAATTTCCAACAGCCCCAGGCATGCACGTCTAAAAGTAAGGAACACTAAGAACTATATTCTAAAATATCTGAATCACACTAGGTTGGAAATGGATTAGGACAGTTTCTTCAAGCCAAGGAGTGGTTTTTAAAAAATTCTATTTTATTATGCAATTTTCATGGAAGCCAATTGTTTTTAAAACATTGCTAAAAGTTGCTTAAGCCAAATATTTCTAGAACGTCTACTTATTAAAATGGTTTTGTGTGACACCAGAATCTTCTGTGATCTCCAAGCCAAAGAGAAAATTAAAAGACAGGCGGTAATAAGTATATAATTGGGAAGGGTACATTTGTAAGTGCAACAAAATCCAATATGACACAGTAAATACAATATATGTTACCAATTCCAGCCTTCTCTTCATCAGCAGAATTGTACTGATATAATGATCATTGGCAGTGGCCAGATGCAAGCTGAGACTCTCTTCACAGAGGGCAGGACATGTGCTTCTAGCTGAACCCCACTCTACCAGACCCCCCCCCCCCCCCCGAAAATACACTATGACGGCTGTATTCCACACAAATGGTCTCCCAGCTACAAGGAGCACATTTTTAGGGATTCAGAGAGGCGAAGTTAATAAGAACCATGTTTCCTTTATGGAAGAGCAGAGGTATCTCCTGCTAGCACTGATGATGATGATGATGATGATGATGATGATGATACAAATTTATTTATATCCTGCCCTATCTCCCTGTAGGGAATCAGGACGATTAAAGAGAATTGTTGTATGCTTTCAAACTGTTTCTGACTTATGACAACCTTAAAGCAAACCTGTCATGGAGTTTACCTAGCAAGATTTGATCAGAGGGGGTTTGCCTTTGCCTTTCTCTGTGATGAGAGAGTACATCTTGTCCAAGTTAAGCCAGTGGGTTTCCATAGCTGAGCAAAGATTCAAACCCTGGCCTCCAGTGTTGTAGTTTAATGCCCAAACCACTACACCATGCTGGCTTTCACAAGTACATTACTTAATTCCATTACTTACACAAAATCATTTCTTAATTACATATCTCCTTAATTGTATTACTTATTATTGTGTTGAATTAGCTGGAAATATATGATTCACTTTCATTCAAGAATAATGACTTTGCACATAGCAAAATTCAGAGAGAATACTACATTTCCCAAGTTAGTCCCTTGCTGTTCATTATTCAATTAAATTGGAGCAGAATCTGCACAGATTGGACAACTAAAAGAAGCAAAGAGACAGCCCACAAGCTTCACAGTTATAAGGAAATGATATCGCTTCCACAGAAATACTGACTATGCAATAAAAGGGCAATATGAACATAATCTGGATATATTCATCAGGATTCTTCAGGGGGTTGGGGGACCAAAATACGGAAGGAGCAGAAAACAAACCAGGAATAATGCTAAATAAATGAAGGAAGTCTGCCTTCTAGCATGTAAGAGGGATCCGCAGATGCAATCTTCACACGTTGTTTTAGCCTGCCTAATTAATGAAGGCTTAATTGCATGCTAATCAGCATAGCTCTTCCTAACTCATTCATCTCTTTGCAAATGGAGAGGAAATTAGAATCAGGAAAAAGGAGGAATTGAGAGGTTGTTTTTTTAAGTATCTGCCTGCTAGGATGTCTTCCCACCACTTGTAGTTCTATTTTGATCACTCGTCCATCTGGGTAATAAGGATCCTGCTGCTCATCAACAAAAAACATCAAGTTTTAACAAATGTCTAGAGTGTGGTTGGTAGTGTTGACTCTTTCTGTTCCAAGCTAAAAGAAGGAGGTGTAATGCACTTTCTACTCTACTGGCAGGAATAGAGGGGAGGGGAGGACATCTGAAAACTAAAAGTAAATGCAGACAATTAGTTATGTGCTCAATCTACACGTGGAGGAAGTACGCAGGCATTTTAAAGTCATTCCTGTGAAAAAACCAAAGCCTATATCGACCACCAACTTAAAAAGAATTCTCAATGCATTTGGTCTATTAGAACAGGCATACCATGGAAAGGAGTTGAAATCTGGGTAAACAGAGGGAAATAAGATGCTTTGACATCTGAGTCCTTTAATATGGCTGGAGTATTGCTTACTGTAATTGATTAATTGTGCAATATTTAACATATTGCTATGATCATCATATATATTCTACACTGTTGACTCACAAAGAAAACATCCTAATGACTGAATACTTAGAATTACGCCACTGGTTGATTTTCCTGCTTACAAATGTTTCAAAACAATGTTTCTTGCCTGACCCTTTGTGGCTACCCTACAATTATCAAATTCTTCTTTGCAGATATGATTGCTCCATGTATTTTTTTCAATTAGAGAAAATTGACCTAAACAAAAATATGAATTTGTTTGTGCAATGTGTCTGCCACAATATGGCAAAAGGAGGAATGTTGGGTCTCTGGCAGGAAAAGCTAAATACAGATCAGCTAAAGCTGGTGGATCATGAGGGAGCCACCCACCTTTCCTGAGTGATGCTCCCTTTGAGGGTAGTTATCACTGCATTGTCAGTTACAGAAATTTGCTAATGGCAACCAATTTGGAAGGGCAGCCAATATCTCAAAGGACAGGATCAGAAATCCAAAACAGATTGGAGTACGAGGCTGAAACTAACAAAATGAATTTTGACAGGGAGAAAGGCACAGTACTACACTTAGGGAATAAAAATTGAAATGGAAAGATATAGGATGGGCGACACCTGACTTGAAAACAGTTCATGTAAATGGGATCTAGAAGTTTTAGTAGACCACAAACTGAACATGGGTCCATAGTGTGCTATGGACTCATGTTCAAAAAAACCTGTTTTGATTTTAGGCTGCGTCAATATGAACATACTATCTAGATCAGGTATGGGCAAACTTCGGCTCTCCAGTTGTTTTGGACTCCAACTCCCACAATTCCTAACAGTGGCTGTTAGGAATTGAAGGCTGTTAGGAATTGAAGTTAGGAATTGAAGTTTGCCCATGCCTGATCTAGATCACGGGAAGTAATAGTACCATTCTGTTATCACTTAGGCTTAAAATA